ATGACGTGGTGGGGATCCAGACGTTGTACGGAGTGATCCCATTCGACTGACGGGCGGCTGTGGATTTAGAGGGAATTAGAAAGGTATTGATGATCACGCTGGTGGTGTTCTTCATTTATATTTTCATTAATCACGCTGCAGATGTTGATGTTTGGTCTCTGGGATTGAAATATTTCACTGTAGAAATCCAAAATTTCCTCTAAGATCTCCTCTTCATTTCTGCATTTTGATCCATCACTGGCATGAAAATACCTAGTGTTTTAATTAGTCCCCAGCTTTCAACCAAAGGATTCTAGATTTATTGTGCCAGTTGGTAGGCAGAGTGTAACAGAGCTTTGACCTTGCCAAGCAGAGCCATATCTTGTAGTTTAGCCTTACAAATCTCAATTTTCTTTTATTATGGTTGAAAATCAAATATTGCAGTTAGTCCTCCATGACATGAGCAAATACACTAAAATTTAATAATTGCAATTAAGTCCTCCACAATTGTCTAATTTTCAAAAATATAACCCAATTTTATTTACAAAATCTACACTAAATCTGTAAACATATTTCCACCTCCCTCTTCGTACAGGCGTTCTCTTCCGGACACCGCCGCCGCCGCTTATAAATTACTTGTTTCAAGGAGTAAATGTATTATTATTTGAAACAATTTATTTGTTTATATTATTTAGTAACAAAGTAACATTATAAAATTACTTGCAGCGGAGTAAATGTATTTAGTAACAATTTTAAAATTTAGTAGCATCATACAATTTTAAAATTATGAAATTACATTTATGTCCTTTTAAAATTGTTGTTTGAGAATAAAATTGTGGTTTGAAACAATTTTATTTGTTTATATTATAAAGAGTAAATGTATTTATTAACAAAGTAATAACATTATAAAATTACTTGTGGAGGAGTAAATGTGTTTAGTAACAATTTTAAAATTATGAAATTACATTTATGTCCTTAAAAGGTAGATTAGTAAAGGGTAATATGGGCATTTCAATTTTTTCAAGAAATGACTCATGCTTTTAAGGGAGTTATAGATATAGATAGAAAGGCACGGACTGTTGGACCGACGATCTCTGATTTTTTTTGAAAAAATAGAGCATTTAAATCGTCCATTTCGGGAGCTTTTAACGGTCCCATATTGATCATGGCTGAGAAAATTTCTTCATCATGAATGTCGTTTATCAGGCATTCATATCATTGACGTCACAGACTGCGAAGACGTTAGTCGTATCTCCATGCGTCACGGGGTAGGCCCTGTATATATGTTCTTGAAGAAAATCGTTGCTAAATTAATAAGAGACTGCTAAATTATGGTGGTGTCCGTTAATACTTCGGCTAGGAGT